CGCGGCGGTGCCCGGCGGCGGCGGCGGCCTGGGTCCGGGTGCGGGTCCGGGGCGGCGGCGGCGGTGAGGGCGGGCGCGGTGCAGTGAGCGGGGCTGCCACTGGGGTCAGGGAGCAGGCACCAGGAAACACGGCGGCCACGGAGCGCTGCTCGCTCACACACACACACGCAGAGACACAGCTCCTCCCGCTGCCTCGCACTTCACCCCCCCGGGCAGGGAGGGAGGGAGGGAGGAATCGCTGCTGCATTTCCCAAGTGCGGCACGGCCTCCCCCCCGCCAAGCCGCCGGGAGAGGCCGGCGGGAGCAGCGGGCTCTGCCGGGGGGTCAAGGAGGGGGATGTCGGTTGCCACAACCCCCCGGGAGAGCGGGGAGGGCAGTGCCGGGACCCCTGCCGGGACCCGCCGCCTCGGGGCAGCGCCCGGGAGGCCGCGGCGGGAGCCCGGCTTCCATCCCGTACACATCGCCGCTCGGCTCTTCCCCTGCCTCAACAAATAATAAAATAAATAAATAGCAACAATTTTTTTTTTTTTTAAATAATCCTCTAAACGGGTTTTCCCATCTCGCGCACCTTTTTCATCATTAGGTATTAACGCAGTGCTCTGCTCCTTCTGGAGACAGGCTAACCTCGGCAACCAGAAAAAAACCAAAACCAACCCAAACCATAAAGAAACACTCCTGTAGGGTTAGCCTGTGAGGCTGAACCTTATCTTAGGGTAATTGGGGCTTTTCCATAGAGAGGTAGAATCAGGGAGGTTGCTGTCGTCTTTTTTTGTTGTCTTCCTCCCCCCCCACAAAACCCGCAGCAATTGTGTCAACAGCCCCAACAGTAACAAAGTAAAGATTAGAGCTGTTTGTTCTTTTACTTTCAAGACAACAAACGGAAGGAGGGACTTCCACAGTCATACACTTAGAATGGGGAGAAAAAAGAAGAAGAAAAGGGAAGAAACCCAAATAATTCAGAATAATCGAGCTGACAAAAAATAAAAGCTCCTAACACGTCTCTAAGAGTAAGTGGTGTCTTACCCATTTTTAATAGGTAATTTTGACTCTGGCCAACCTTCGGAGATGCACGGCAACTAGGCAGGTTTTTCTTTGTTGCTGAAAACAATGAGATGGGTCCCCAGTATTGCCAGACAGAAATCCATTAGGATGGATTGTCCTGTTTAGAAGCATGGCAAATTAAGAAACATCAACCTGGGGAAAAAAAAAATAAATAAATAGCGTAAGTTTTTTCCAAATTTAATATTAGACATTTCAGTCTGATGATTTTTTTTTTTTCCCACTATTGTCATTTCCCCTTTTAATAGAAGGATGCACTGTAAACCACCAAAGGAAAATTCCTGTTCCAGACAAAATGATGCACTGGTGAGTCCTCCTTCTCACCAAATCAACCTTTGCCTGGCATGGAGTCTGAGGCCGCAGTTTCACAAAGGTTTTTAGGTGACTGACTTTGACACTGCTGTAAAATAAGCAATCCAGCACTCAGCCCACTTACCCCACCTCTGTCCCTGCACTAGCCCTCATGTGAGCACAGGGAACCCCAGCTGGGAACCCCATCCTGCTAACACCAGGGAAAAGCAGTCTGGTTTGATGTGGGTCAGCGTCCCCTTCCAATCCTCACAAACGTTTCTGCTGGAACAAGGCAGGGAGTGAGATGGGCAACTGGGGATACAAAGGGGTCAGGATAGCTTCATTGATACCACTGCCAGATTATATATGACAATGTGGGTGGGCGGGGGGTGAGGAAGAGCAGGTTCAATCCTGAATCTGCTTCATCTCTTCTCTGTAGTTGCAGCAGCAGGACTTTTCCTGTACTTGTGTCCTCATACCACATCTAGAGCCCTACGCTACAAAAATGTGCTTTTAGCACAGAGGGAAAAACATGGTAGAAGCCTGGGTAGGTGACTGGACTGGGAATTAGAAAGCTTAAAGACCTCCTTTCTGATGTGGGGTGAGAGACAAACCCCAGCATGTCAGTGCCCTCATACTAAAATAAGCATTTACCTAATTCACTAGTTCTTAAACGTGGCCTGAAAGTTAGCGGTACTTGGGTGTTGCTCATATGAATCCAGAGTGGGACTTGATTCTAAGGTCACGTCTCTCTCACAATCCTAAATGCTCAGCAACAACCCCAAGCTGTAATACAGTCATTGGGAGCACTGTTTTCAGTATATGCCTTGACAAACTCTGAAACATTTTCTGTCAAGAGTGCATAACAGAACTCTTCCTTTTTACAAACTACTTATTTTTTGTTTCCCCGAGAACAGGATGCTTACCAAAGATGTACTCACTTTCAGAAATCTGCTGGCCCCGGAGTTGCTAAAAGAAGGAAAAAATATTTTACTTAAATTGGTTAAAGGGTTTTCTCAGGAAAAGACTTGCATTTTATTGCCTTTCTTCTCTAATTCACAAGAACAGCATCAAAATGCAAGTCTGTAAGTACAGCAAACGTCTTTATTTTGGCTGAAAAGCCGATACACACTCAACAAGAGGATTTCAGAGATAAATTTGAAAACTTCAGAAGTAAACAAGCTGATTATTGTGAGTGTCACAGGACTGATTTTTCTAGTTGGGTGAAATTCAAAACAGTGAACAAGCAGTTTTTGTTTACTTTAATATTCCCTATTTGGAATGTTAAAAGTGTACGTTATACATGAAACCTTAGTCATATTCCGAGTTTGCTCTGGATTTGGGGTTTTTTAATTATTACAAAGCCAAAGCGAGTATCATCAAATGTACAGATGCAGCAGTTGCATGTTAAAACTGATAAAACACTACGAAAAGGATACAGATTCTTCAAAATCTGTTATGTCATCTCTGATACAGTGTCCAGTTTCTGCCAAGCACAAGCAAGCGCTAACAGCTTTTGAGACACACACAGGGTACTCCAGAGTGAACCATGGACACCCATCTCACTTTGCTCTTTCCTTTGGGAAAAATCTTCCCTGAGACTATGTGAAGCAAAACAAAAAAGGTATTATTTAAAGTCCACCTCTGAGAACTTGTTCCTTAAATAATAAGACACACAGAAAGGAATTTTCAAAAAGCCTAAAAACCTTTCAAGCTGTGTGTCATGACATCGGCCTGTGGTTACAGTACTGTCCTCACACAGATCCTGCCTGGTCAGGCTGTGCTATGTCATGTGGTGCATTACTGTGCTCCACAACCTCCTGTGTGTTGCTCGTTGAGGGTACTCTCAGAGCAAGCTATCTCAAGAATATTCCATCGTTTGACCAAAGGAGGGAAGGCCTGATTACAAGGCCATGTCTTGCTGTACAAAATAATCAATGATGCTACTTTAAGGGTGTTCCAAACTGCCTCACTCCTCTGCCACTTCCTTCTGCCCCCATACCTCAGGGATACAAACCACACAAGAAGAACAAATTCCGTTTTTAAAAAAGTGGACAACCACTGCAGGCAATCTACTCTGAAAGTCACTGGACTCACCATATTCCAATGCAGACCACTGCAATTCTGCCAAAACTTGTGTCTTCACAGGCTTGTTCCCCTCATTAAAGTAGAAATTCTTCAGTAACTGTGGAACCAAAGTCAACTGGAGAAAACTGTGTTTCTTCAGGCTTCATGCCTCACTGAGCAGATACTACATTCCAAGTTTGCAGAATATAGTTGGATAGATTAAAAGTTCTCCATTGCTCTCTTCCTCCATTTGTGGCCTGTGAGTCAGAGCATTTGGTGTGTATGGTGGCCAACAATAGGAAAACAGAAATACATAGCATTAGACATAACAAACAAACAAAAAACCCCAACCAACCCAGGATTCCAGTTTTGAAGATACAAACTGGTTTTTAGCTCTTAGCTTCTTTCGCTTAAGAAAATCACAAACAGGAACTGGTAGGTAATTAAACCCTAAACACTGAATTTTCAAAAAAAAAAAAAAGTCTCGTGGCTGTTGATTTTTGTAATCTCTGCTGTAATTAATTTTTATCTGACTTTTACTCTCACAAATATGGGCCCGTGCACTAACCTGTTCAACACCCCAGCAAACACTACATCTTCAGGAAGAATCCATGGTCTCTCCATAGAAGTGCTCCAGTTTTTTGAGAAAAAGGACAAGTCTCAAAAGGAAGTGAAGCTCGAGGCTCCTATCAGAATCTGCAGACAGAGAGAAGCACATCATTCTAATGCTGACAGAGCATCAGGTAAGACTTCTAAAGGAAATATCACTAGTTGTCCTCTGGGCATTCTTTTTATATTCGATGGACCAGAACATTGTCACAGGATAATGGTTGTCTGCTGCCTTGCCCCTATTAAATTAAATTAAATATTTGATTGGAACTTTCCTGCTTGCTCTCTGTAGAAATAAAAAGTGATGCAAAAAAGCTGTAGGTGAATCATTTGTCCTTCTAAAAACTCCCAGTGTAACTGCTTGTCAAGTACCTAGAGAAGAAACCATTCCTATTAATTTTGTTTAGTTTTGAACATTCCACCTAATGTTCTTTTTTCAAAATTGAGATGGGTGTATGGGTGATTTATTCCTTCATAACAGAACAGGCAGTGACTTCAGTTTTGTATGTAGATAAAGATGCAGGTATTGTTTGATGCACAGCAGTTAATGCAGAGACATTACTGCAGGAACTCCCAGATACTGAAGGCTCAGGGCACAAAAGGTTTTTGGTGATCACCTTCTGGTCAATGAGCTGTGGCAGGGAGTACGCAACTGTGGGACTAATGTGAGGTGTCTGAACACCTTATTACTGCATATCAATTTACCTGTTTAGGAGAAGGTGGATGCCTTTTTCCTTGAGTGATCATTTTATCACTTAATTTGTCTACAGTGCATTGAGTCAAAGCCAATGGATGAGAAAACCTTCGGTTTAATTCAGCTTCAGTTCAGGCACTCAGAGCTCATTGTCCCAAATAATTCCAAAACTTCAAATTCTGTCAGGAAACAGGCATTTAGTACTACAGTAAAGAGTATTACAACCCCCTCTTCTCCTTGACCTTCGAATTCCACAACTCCCTTCCCTCCTCATCACATAGATCATCCCATCCTGCAGCAGTGTCCACACTACAGTTCTGTTCCTAGATGTAAGACTAACCATGTCCCCTTGAGTTTTGAGAAGTCAGTGACATCAGACAGCTCCCTGTCTATGCTCTGCCTCTACACGTGTCCTTCTGACTTTAGACACAAGATTCCGTGAAGTGGGTTTATATCACACTGAATGCATTCTGCAAATGGCAGACCCTACAAACTGAAATTCTTGCAGACAGAGAAAAATTCTTCTCTCTATTCCTGAGAGAAGGTCCCTATTGCACCAAGAGTTATAGATGAAATTCTCAACATCAGTCAAAATTGCACAAGGAAAGCAAATTGCAAAACTGAAATAGACCTTAGCTCGCAGTGCGAGTAAAGTGATTTACATGGTGGCGCAGAAGAGAGAATATTACTCCTATGCTACCTTGAAGAATGAAGGCTACAGATTTAACAGCAAATTTATCTGACGATGATTACTGTTGTCAACAGTTACTCAGAGTTAGCCTCTTTATATCTAAACAAATAGGCACCAGAGCTTCACTTCATGCCTTGCATAATTAACTTTATGTTTTTGACAGACGTAGGAACCATGGTCTCCAGCTCATCTACATCCAAGTCCCAAATTACCTTTGGGACAGGAGTGTGGTCCCTTTATAGAAAATTGTAGGGAATTGTAAGACAAACAGAGTGAAAAACTTTTAAAAGGGGTGAGGCTTTTAAAAGGGGTGAGGTCTCCATTCCAACACGGAGATCTTTCCAATTTGAGCATGAAGACCAAGACTCCCTAAAGGAAGGAAAGGACTTTTACAGTCATTCTCAGGAGTCTTGTCACTTTGAATGTTCCCACTAACACTGCTGATCTGAAGGTACATGTAGACCTAGAGCCTGAAGCCAAAATCTTTATTTTATGTTAACTATCATAATTATCAAACTCTGTTTTACAGAAAATACAGTTCAGGATGCTCAGGAATCCTCCCATTCTGTGGTGAAAGAATGAAGCCTGAATTCACGTGCAGTGCTCTCTAATGTACGACAGGATTCTGGAAAGAAATGGACAAGATCTTACGGTATAATTTCTGGTTAATGTTGATTTTTAGCCCTTGATTTGACATTTTAAAATCAATATTCCATAGCAGTCAT